GCTGACGAATTCTCAGCACGGATACAGTTAGCATAGTTCATGCGCTCACCCTCAGTATAATACGATGAAGGCTAAGTTTTGAAATCTAATATAACCAGTAGAAAATCGATCACGGAGCCTTTATCTAATTAACCTACACTAAATACACACAACTGCAATAACTGGAAACCCATTAAAGATATCTGGAAAATTCTGTTGCCAATAAACCTGTCTTTGTCAATGGAAGTAATCTTCATAGCCTTATAAATGCTCTATGAAAGTCAATCTCCGAGAAAAATGCCACCCTAATTAGCTCTCGGGATAGACGACTGGAAGAATTTGAGAAACAACTTAACTGGCCTACAGCCACTCTCAACTCACCGAGCATCCAACACCTCCCTGAATCGTATATAAACACCGGTCCTCCGTCCCCAACTCAGGTTACAAAAGCTGTCTCTAATCTGAAACGAGGCAAAGCAGTGGGACCTGATCGAATGACTCCAGAGATGTTTAAGGACGGTGGAGACAATTCACTGTCTGGGTTAACTAGGGTGTTAGGCAACGTCTGGGAATCAGAGATAGTCCAGTTGGGCTGGTGTGTGTCATTGATCATCCCGGTATACAAGAAGGGAGACAAGTCTTCCTGTGATAATCACAGAGGGATTAGCTTGACTAATATGGTGGTATCTAAAGTTCTAGGCTCAATGATAATGCGTAGACTAAGGGGTTCTCGGGAGGAGCAGACACGAGAAAATCAGGCATGCTTTAGACCAGGAAGAGGGTGTATTGGTCATATCTTCACACTTCGACAGATTCTGGGACATAGGCGTACTTACTGGCGTCCAACAACTGTCACATTTCTTGACCTGAACGCGGGATTCGATTCCGTCGACCGAGAGGTACTATGGCAATGTTTGGCCGTGAAGGGTATGCCGAGGAAATACATCGCACTAATCAAGGAACTCACTCTACTCGAACTCATGCAGTCAGCCAGGTAAGGAAGAGCCTACGGAGAGTTGTCATCTGAAGTGATAACAACCAGTGGTGTCCGTCAGGGATGTCCACTGTCCCCATTTCTCTTTAATTTCATCATCCATGTACTAATGGACTTAACCCTAACTGACTGACTTCAGCGACTCAGGGCTTGACTTCTTACCAGGAAATAATCTCGTTGACTTGGAATATGCGGATGATATAGTCCTCCCTCCTAGGTGAGCAAGACGCTGACAAAATGCCGAGTCTTCTCAACATCTTGAGCAGCAATCTCCGAATGTTTGACATGCGATTCGCTCGTTCTGTCAAATGTAAGATGATGCTACAGGACTCGACTGGAATACATCGACACCTAGCTTAGAAATAGGCAGTGAAGTGGTGGAGCGTGTTGACGACTTGACTTATTTGGGAAGTTGCATCAGCCAACGCCATCGGTTTGATCGCTGACGAATTCTCAGCACGGATACAGTTAGCACAGTTCATGCGCTCACCCTCAGTATAATAGGATGAAGGCTAAGTTTTGAAATCTAATATAACCAGTAGAAAATCGATCACGGAGCCTTTATCTAATTAATCTACACTAAATACACACAACTGCAATAACTGGAAACCCATTAAAGATATCTGGAAAATTCTGTTGCCAATAAACCTGTCTTTGTCAATGGAAGTAATCTTCATAGCCTTATAAATGCTCTATGAAAGTCAATCTCGGAGAAAAATGCCGCCCTAACTAGCTCTCAGGATAGACGACTGGAAGAATTTGAGAAACAACTTGACTGGCCTACAGCCACTCTCAACTCACCGAGCATCCAACACCTCCCTGAGTCGTATATAAACACCGGTCCTCCGTCCCCAACTCAGGTTACAAAAGCTGTCTCTAATCTGAAACGAGGCAAAGCAGTGAGACCTGATCGAATAACTCCAGAGATGTTTAAGGACGGTGGAGACAATTCACTGTCTGGGTTAACTAGGGTGTTAGGCAACGTCTGGAAATCAGAGATAGTCCAGTTGGGCTGGTGTGTGTCATTGATCATCCCGGTATACAAGAAGGGAGACAAGTCTTCCTGTGATAATCACAGAGGGATTAGCTTGACTAATATGGTGGTATCTAAAGTTCTAGGCTCAATTATTATATATAATGCTCTCGGTAACCAATTAACTAGTCTGCCTTAATGGCTTTGAGGTCGCTTCTAGTTTTTTTATCTACAACTAACGCTTGCGATTGATGCCTGGCTATCTATCCTGCTAGACGTTAATTCTGTACACACTACCTGCAGATTTTTTATTTTGCCTCCATTAACCTGGTGGCCAGGCTGTCCTTAACAACACCCTTAACCACCGAAATGATGTATTTTACTGATGTATTTCTTGACAATGTTTTAAGGAGAATGTAGGGATAAGCAATCACATCACGACAAAGCTGTCGGACTCATATCCTATGATAATCTAGTGACCCACCTATCTTTCACTCTCCTCAGATAAACAAGTGTATCGTTGAATTTCTGATTGGTTCGAAGAACTTCTGTGATCCCCTACAAGGCTAAGGGAATTAGGTCTTCTCATACTTAGCTACCGTCTACTTAGAGGTAACCGAATTTTCTGCCACAGATATTACGAATGAACGGAATCATCCAAACATATGTATTATGTCATTAAGTAAGTTTAGGCTTCTTCACAGTAATCCTCGAAAACTAGCTCATCGTATAGCAACGTTTTGACTGCGGCTGACATTGATACTTTTTCCATCTCTCTAGCCTTTATCGCTCACCACTGTTTTCAATTGTTGTGGAGACTTTTGTTTAGCTTTGGTTGGATTAACCTTCTCTCTTCATCATGTTCAGAGCTCGCCTGAATCAGTCTCCTCGCATCACTCAGTTCGGATGATGCAATAGAAATCAACTGGCATTTAGTAAGCTTTGGTTTTGAGCAACCGTAGCAGTGGTTTCTACAGCTGACTGTATGTTATGATGAGCTTCCTCAGGATAAGTCTTGATGTCCCAAACTCAGATACACGTTCAGCGACCTCTTCCTCGAATGGGGACCTAGTGTTCCAATCAAGTTCGGGGTGTAGAGGCTTCACTGCTGCCTTTTTTCTACATCCCTTCAATCGTAAACATATACCTGCACCTAGATGTCTCTTGCAAAATAAGCTCTCTATTACACAAACTGAGTCCTGGGTCACTAACTGGCTGCATTCCTACTTCTCTAACAGAATGCAATACACCGTATACAAAGGTAAATCCTCCTCTACTGTGCTCAATGAAGTTAGTGTCCCCCAAGGTGCTGTACTCTCCCCACTTCTCTTTTCTTTCTTTCTACATGACTTACCATCTCCAAATGACATTAATTTTGTCAAATATGCTGACGACCTAACAGTATCTTTGCCTGTCAATTGTCAAAGTGACTGCTCTAAACTGAATGGCTTTCTATCAGAAATCAGCCTGTGGTTCAAGTAAAACAGTTTTACCTTAAACCCTTCCAAATACCAAACAGTCAATTTCACCTTTAGGCATAAATCCGACCCAAACAAACTGGTTGGCTCTCACGAGGTGTGCAACATAGATGGCACTGAAATAGAAACCATTTCGGAAATTAAGTACCTAGGCGTAATTCTATCTGGTGATCTCTCCTGGTCGTCTCATATCTTGGCGATTTCTAAGAAAATATTCCGTCTTACCTTCTACATCAAGAAGTTAAAACATTCTGGTATAACCTAACCCTTACTCCCACAGTTCGTTAACTCTCGCATTCTGCCTATTATTTATTCTCTATTGTTCCCCCTTAGTTTTTCCCGGTTCACTGAAGAAAGACTATACCTTATTACGCAGGATGTTAAAGGTTGTCAGCAGGGTAAGCAACGTGCCACTTAACCAGTTTGTTAATATTCTGGTCGACAGGCACATGGACTCATGTGAAAAATGGGCTGAATCCATTTTATCTAACTCACACCGCCCTCTTCACTCACAACTCTCCCCTTGCATCTCATCAGGCAAAACCAGAAGCTTATATAGAAAACTATATGCTCGCACCAGCAAGTACAAAACTCAACCATACCCTACTTAGCTCGTGTTCTGTGCGACAAAGAAAGCATTAGGCGTGACACCTATAATTCATTAAATAGTCAGTAGAACAACTTGATCTCGTCTTTCCAACTCATATCATTTATAGATACAACATTTTCTTTCTTTCTTTTCCTTTACTCTCTCTCTTTTCTGTTATGTGGTGCTTTTTTTTTTTCTTCCGCTTACGCCAGTAAATATGATAGCACCTACTTTTCTAACACCTTCAAACACTGTTCAACTTTGGCTTTGCTACCAACATCCAAATATGTTGTTGTCATAATGAACTGAGATTTCCTTAATTTATGTAGAATTTTATTTATTGATAATGTACTAACTGGATGCAATACTGTAGTAAAAATGCTGAGAATTCCATTCTGTAGCAATGAGTTGGTCGTCCAAGGTTGACATGAAGGAAGTCATGTGAAGAGGAGATGAAAGTATGTGGACAGACGTGGAGCCAGATGAAAACGTTGGCAGAGAATTGAACGCAATGGAGATGTGTGGCTGAAGCCCTATGTTCCTCTAGGAACTAAAGCAAACAATAATAATAATAGTGTATCGGTAGTGCAGTGGTACTTAACGCGCTAGCCACCTGGGGGGCCCAGGTTCGACTCTCAGCTAACACACTCCTAAACCCTGTCTATTTTACTAGCCGGGTTGGTAAGCCTGGAAAAGAGGGAAGGTCGGGACGACCCAACCCAGTAAACAAAACACCATCTCTGCGAAAAGGCTGAAACTCTATGTATGCCTGAAAACGTTAAAAAAAACGAAAGAACAGTCAGGTGAAACGTATTTACTGCGACAGCTAGCTAATAATACTACTACTACTACTACCCAGTTAGTCAAATTGAATCAGATGCAGCGCAGCTCGAAACTGTGATCCCCTGACTGAATACCTAGTGCTCCCTGTGTTTTCAACAATTCTAATAGAAAAGACAATGTTTCATTACAGAATAGATTTTTTTTCTCTCAAGTACTGATGAAGCACTAAAATCTACACACACACACATACACACATACACACCGGGTAAAATAATATGAGATATAATAATAATAATATAAGATTCAAGTGAACATCGATATCAAAATTTTCTTTCGATAAAAAAGTAAGTTAGCGTAGAAAAATATGTAAAAATTTGTTCAGCATAAGTCTCATAAGTGAATGCTTTTTTTCTTCTCTAAACAATCTCTGAATTGACAAAAATTATAACTACGTTTCCATGGCCACTGGAGGTAGTTCGTTGTATGCAGGCACAGTGTTCTTTTCAGGCATACAAGTGTTACTAGTGTTATCTGTTGAATCCGATGATTGATCACCGTTATTTGAAGGCCTTTCAGGCAATAAAATATGTAGATAAGGATGTGTAATATTTACCGCACCCATAGCTGAAAGATCTGTATAAATGGCTGCATAGGTCTGATGGAACAGCAGGCCATCACCAGAGACTCGACGACAATCAACAAGTATTGAACCAGCCAATGGATACGAGAGGACACGGAAAGCAGTTCCTGGATGTTCTGGACTTTTAATATCAATCTGTAAAACAGAAATACATTTTAAAGGGGAAGAAATTAAAGGTCATGAAGATATAAGACAATGCATATACAGTGGTGACAGTCCCACAAACCGCCGTCTCAGACGACACACACGCAAATCCAACGAATTGTGATTGATGAAACTGGCAAGAGTTGTTTTGGTTAGCTTTAATCTTCATTAACTAAGAGAAAGGCAATCTTGAGACGAAATTGACCGACTTAGTCTCAGCACAGATGTGTAGCAGTTCAAGTTGCCACATACTTCAAGTAGAACACAATGGTAGAGAAAAAGAGACTATTACAAAGAAATTAGGAAAATCAGTTCAAAGAACTTTTAATGCTGGCAAACTACACGTATTTTGATTTGACACTAGTAACACGTATTATTCTCTACACGACCGATGGTGCTACCTCGACTGAAAGATGAAGTAGCTAGACTAGTCACTTCAAATTGTATCTATCAATTCAACTGCGCTTGTGGTGGAGAGTTATATTGGCCGTTGCTCTAGGAACTTGATTTTCCGTGCTCGAGAACATATCCCACTAGGGCTAATAAAGGTGCAGTTACAACTATTAACAGCTCGATATTAGACCATCTGGTGCAAACCGGTCACAAAGCCAGCCAGCGTAGAAGAATCCTTCTCTATCATCTACCCGGTGCCTAATAAATTGCCAGAATCATAGAAGCACCGCATGCTCTAAATAGCAGAGGCTATTGCAATTCGCCTCAAACAATCAGTGCTCTGTGTTCAAAAGAAGCAAGTCCAGCCCCTACTACTGCCTCCAGTAGAGACTAGAAATTCATGAATTCGTATTATTGTTATCTTTCTTAATTTTTATGACATTCAGCTTACTTTATGTTGATGTTAGTGAGCTGTAATCTATCAGTATTGTTGATTTGATATTAATTAAACAGCATTAATGCTGTTCATAACACTAATTCATTCATTCACTACTATAATGTATATATAACTGTAGAGCCTGATGATGAAGTTATCGAAAAGCGTACTCCTTGTTCAGTATCCATTCTTTTGACAAAGAAATAATCAAAACATTATAATGGGCAGAAATGTAGCGGATAAATAATAATAGTAGCACAAGGGGAAGCAATGAGGTTTAATGAATACGGCAGATCAAGAAGAGTTAAGGGCCTTCGCCTACGTGCCAGCGTAGGCTACCTGACCTACAATTTTTGCACACGACCGATGGTAAATGATAAGTGACCAAAAAGCATTAGAAGAAAGGCAATACAGTAATATTGTGCAATACTAGTCTAGTGCTTTTAAGCGTATTACAAATAAAGTGGTTGGGGATAAGACACTTTGTGACACTATGAGAAAGAACAATTACTCAGATAACTAATTCTAAGAACAGCTAACCTGTCGTTGTTCAGAGACATTTAAGGGTACAATTTTACTGGACTACTACTCTACAACTCAAACTGAACAAGAGAGTGGCGTTCAATCACAATCACAAACTCGCTTGGAAACAATATGTCGGTTAAAAAATCCTGTGGAGTCAATTGAACAAACTAATGATTTAGTTTACTTAACTTCTTGTGACGATTGCGAGATCAAATGTATACCTACGAATTAGTAGGCCAGGGTCAGCCAGGCTGAAAAGAGCAGGAAAGCCCACCTAAATCTACACCAGCAGATCCTAATATAATAAGAAATCTAGGGAGAAAAAAGCTCACCACACACAGTTACACAGGATAAGAAAAAGTGACAGTCCTACAATTTAATGTAACAGGGTGGGGGCAGAGATTGACAACAGGAGCTCCATTTATCAAATCAAGTGGGAATATGTGCATTAGGAAGGATCCCCATACATGCGTAAGACTAATGGGAAGAAAGTGCGAGAAGCATAAAAGTCAAGTTTCATAGATGTGTAGTTACAATTGATGATACGATTATGAAACACTATCATCCAGTATATATATATATATATCGGCTGGTCAGGCTCAAACATTTAAACGTTTCATACATGGATATATATACCTGGAAAAGGTAACCGTCATTCTCAACACCGCATATGTGTACGTAAGTACGTATGAACATGTTTACTTAAACGTCCTGGAGATGCAGCTCTTTAGATCAATCAATCATCAGACTTTCAAGCACAACAACCGGCCCCAGATTCGACTCCTAGACTGGTCGACTACCTACCTACCTGGTCAAGAATCTGTTTCTCAAGAGACTGAGTTCTAATTAGTAGCCGTTGTACATTGAATTCCGCAAAAACACAAATAACCCAATAAATCAAATATAATTTGTGTAGTATACCATAAAATAAATAATTTCCTATATAGAGAGAGGGTAAATGCCTAGGTATGATATGATACAATGCCAAGTGCTTACAAGAAGATTATTTGATCCTTTAACTGTTGCACGTAAATGCCTTCTTTGGGCAACTACAGCTTGTATAACTTCCATAGTATGCTCTACAGATGACAAAGCTGAAAAGAATCGAGTCATTCGCCGCATTATACACGAAAAGCCAAGACGATCTTTAACAGAGTCAATGTTTCCAACCAGTTGAGAAGCCTGAAATGAGAGGGAGAAAACAAAAGTTATATAAAATAGCGATAGTTAATTGATATGCGTATTATTATTATTTATTCATTCCGCGTGTTCTGAATAGAACATCTTCATCACTTTCAACTGACCACACGACTCCCCAGATTCTCTTATTTTCTCTTCATCTGACCTTCTTCATGTCACCCGCGGATTCACATCCAACCTGACTAACCTATTGTTTTTCATTCGAATTCGACTCAGCGGCCTACCTGGCGTGTGACATTAATTGAGAGCCGCCTTAATGTATGTCTAATCTATCCATTTCCATTTCGTTTTGCATACTTGTAAATTGGGCAAAAGTCTGTTCGCTGTCAGAGTTGCTTGTTGCGGCTAGGGTATTATATCTCCATCTCCACTTCTTCCTGCCTATTTGTTTCACAATCGGTTCCTGGTTGGTTCGCTCATTGCCAGAGATCTCTGTTGCTGATCTTTTCTGGCCATCTGATCTTGAGTATTGAGCGAAGACAACTGTTAATGAAGGTCTGTAGTTTGTTTGAGATGCTCTCTATGACGCGCCAAGTCTCTGATCCGTATAGTAGCACTGACTTCACATTGTCATTAATATAGAACAGTATAATTAACAAAAATACATTTATAAAACACACAATAGTTGAGCAAAGAATATCCTTTTCGACAATTTCCACCCCTTCTCGCTCTACAATTATATATGCATGTTTATATACATAAAACATTCTAGAATAGTAGTCAATACCAATATTAGTGTTTTTTAAATAGTACCGACTTGTAAAGTAAGATCACAATGGAATTACCACAGTTCATTAAAGATGCTTAAATTATAATAATAATAATAATAATAATAATAATAATAATAATAATATAATAGCAACTAATAGATGCTAACACAACGCCTCAGCATTCCCTGCTGATGAATTACGCTGTGTCTTCAAAACCACTCCTCTTTTGCGTTCGGGAGTAAAAAATAAACTACCTAAATTCGCCTCTTCCATGTGTATCTACCAGTTTAACTGCTCCTGTGGAGTGAGCCAGTTACATAGGCCGTACAATTAGGCGTGTTTCTCGTTGGATTTCCGAACATCACCCTGCGTGCTTGGTTAAGTAAAGGACAAACAAAATCTATTCACAGAGCTATTCTATCTCATCTTGTGGATTGATGTTAACAAGAAGGCTCTCAAAGTCATTTACCGCATACCAACTAACAAATCTCAATTTCACCTTAAGAGTTCAACTACTAAATATTGCTGAGGCTGGCCATTGGGATCCATATTAACAAGCCTAATTCGTGTGTCTAAAAGAAGTTGGTTGGTTCAGACATTATCCTTAACTTGGCCATCTAGGTTTGAATGATTCTCAATTGTTTTGTAGAATTTTCCTTATTTTAGTTGATATTCTATTTCCTGCTATATCTTTATTATTAGTATTATAATTTAATCATCTTTAATGAACTGTAATTCCATTGTGATCTTACTTTACAAATCGATATTATTATTTGAAATAAACACTAATATTGTTATTCACTGCTATTCTGGAATGTTCTGTGTATATAAACATGCATATATAATTGTAGAGCCAGAAGAGGAGGAAATTATCGAAAACGATATTCTCTGCTCAATTATTTTGTGTTTCATAGATGTCTGAATGAATATTTTCGCTACAAAAAATACGTTTAAATCCCAAAACAACTCAACAAGATATTTACTTATTCTACTGACTGCTTACCATTAACATACTGTCCGTGTCAACAGGTTGTGATAAATGCAGATCATTTATAATAGAATCCAATTGAGCAGTACACACTGGTGCTGGTTGAGATGAAGGAACTGAAAATACCGAGAAAAAAAACAAATAACATGGACAAATTGAAAGTCAAACTGAAAACATGACAACGGAAAGAGGAGTTAAGATATTTTTTAAAAATATCGGTTTTATTTTTTATTGTTGTTGCTGGGATCGTAGTGTAGCCATCACCATGGCTGTCTTCCACAAGTAGTCGAGTTGCGTTCGACTCTCAGCTGTCGTAAATGGTTTAATGCATCGGTGGTTCAATAGTGGAATGCCCATCAATCGTGTACGTAGTCTGGGTTTGATTCCCAATCGAAGCCATCGTAAACCCCGCGTAAACCGATAGTAAGCCCGATAAGGAGAGAGGAATAAGAGTATGAGGCTAGCGACTCCACTCTGCAAAGCAAAACCAAAGCTGCTGAAACCTCATGACTCAAACTTGAAGCACTATACTACTCCACTCGAAATGCAAAGGAATAAGAGGAAAAAGAATTACTATTGGACAGTGAATAATTGATGACTACTACCCGATTATACCACCAGTGAAGTTTTTGTGAATCAAACTCTACAAGTTCGAACCCGTGTCGAGGTCCTTATTAAGTGCACAAAAGCGAATATGTGTACGTGACTACGAAAAGTGTGAAAGCCTTCACAGCAATGCAATCTGGTAGAATAGTGTTCATAAAAATGATATTCCGAAATCATTCATGACACTTACGGTTCAGGTTTCTTTTTCCTTCACGTTCCCCAGTGGAACATAGGGCGTCAAGCTAGTGGCTTGAAGTTTCTGTAGCAGTGTTTATTTTACAGGATGGGGTGGCTAGCCTCATGCCCAACCTTTCCTCTTCACTAGCATTATTTCTGGCTTAGCGAGGTAAATGAGTGCGTCAGTGGCCGGGGATCGAACCCCGGATCATGTGCATGGTCGGCGAGCGTCCTAACCGCTACGCCACCGACGCACGGTTCAGGTTATTTCCAGCTTACTATGCATCACTGAAGCGGTAGTCATTAAATGCTTAGAACGGAACTTGTGCATCTAGAAGGTATGTCATTGTCAATTCCACACCCTTGATTTTACTTTGATCTACACTCTTGACCTGACTTATTATTTCTCGACGTCTTCTCAACTAAATTATTTAACTCGCATGTCACATGTAACTAAAATAAATTAAATATATGAACATAAAGAAATACAGGATATCACATGTGAAGTGATTGGCTTACCTGGAGCATCTCCTTGATAATTCCTACGTGTAGTATTAGTACGATCAGTGTCACCTGTAACAGTACTCACAGATACACCTGAATTTTGTCGATTTCGAGGCGACGCCACAGGAGTTAAACGTCGAGCCATACCAAGACGATACCAAGGATGATTAAGGATACCTTCGACAGTAAGACGATCAGAAGGACGATGAGCTAATGCACGTGTTAAGAAGTTAGCCAAATCAGGAGGAAGTCGGGAAAACACTGGACCAGTGTGTAGATCTTTGTGTTCTGTCCACTGTCGGTATACAGGATCTGTTGTATAACTAGCACGAGACCAACAACGCTGACCAGTGACAGCCGTGAGGAGTGTAACACCAAGTGAGAAGAGATCAGCAGGTGGTCCAAAATATGGGCTACAAATAAGAAATCAAAATTTTTATGAGGTACCATCAGGTGAAAGCAAAGCCTACAGAAAAATGTAATAACCATTCAACAACCTATTGTCCAGACAAATGCAGATCTCCTGAACACCTTGAGCTGCAATCTACGAATGTTTGGCGTGCGATTCGCTCCCGCCAAGTGTAAGATGATGTAACAGGACTGGATTACACTGACACCTAGCTTAGAAATAGGGAGTGAAGTGGTAAAGCGTGTTGACCATTTCACTTACTTGGGAAGTCGCATCAGACAACGCCATCGGGTTTCACATATGGTAGTTTACGCCTTCTCTGGAGTAGATGTGATATCCGGTTACCTGTCGACCAAAGGGCTTGTGTACTGCTCGGCAGTCTGCTCCGTCCTCCTTTATGACTGGTTGTGAGACCTGGTCATTGAGAGCAGAAGACATGAAAAGATTAGCTGTCTTTGATCATAGGTGCCTGCGTTCTACCTCCCGTGTGAAGTGGTATAATAGGGTAAGCAATATTGAGGTTAGACATCAGTCGAGTGCTAGTTAAGGAGGGGAAATGAATCGAACTGGTTGTGAAGTTACACCAACTAAGAGAGATGGTTAGGATATGTGTTACTTGTGCCTAGCCATCCATCGCCTTCCTCGACGGGCAGTGTTAACTGACGTAGGATGAGTCAGGCTGAGGAAGAGGTAGTGGTGGTCACACCAAAACATGGCCTTATCAGTCCATGAAATCCACAATACTTAGTTTAAGCCAGTCAGCCACGTGGGGAGGTTTAGACTTCCTGACTGGTTGGGGGGTCCTCGGGACGGTAAAAACCAATTGCTGGAGACAATCGGTGATGTGGCTCAAAATCGTTCTCACTGGCTGGCGCAGATGCATCCACTCCTCATGGACTTACACTGTCCAATAAAACTATATTGTTCTTCGTTATTACTATTCCTTTGTCTCATATCCTTGTCTACTGTCTCTAATATGCATTTCTTCTACTTTCTTCTCTTGACTTGTGTGCTACATGGAGTGTGGCGACTTGAACTGTAGCACATCGGTGCAAAGTTCTATGTTGAAAACAGACAGAGATTGTCCAGACAATTAATATGCCGAAGCAAATGGCAATGGATTCGATATTCAAGTTGTCAGTCGTAGACTATGCAGTTGAAAGTGATGGCAGACAGCTGAGTGCAGTTTCTACATCAGGACACGGTCGACGCCATTGACTGACTGCAATAGTAATGGCAGCAATTGTAAAAATAGTGACAATAAGAACAGTAATGGAAATATTTAAAAAATGCTAATACTGACAGTGGTCCTGGTGTTAATAGTAATAATAGTAATATTAGGGATACTGGTATCCGTAATAGCAACAGTAGTAATAATGGTAATAGGAATAGAGATAATGATAATATTAATACCAAAATAATAATAATAATAGAAATAAAAATACGCATAATTACTTTTTTCCGAGAACTTCAGGAGCCGCATAACTCGTTGTACCGACTGGACCTTGAATAAGTTTTTGTTTGCGTAAATCTACAGCCCAACCGAAATCAATCAACTTGGCTCTATCCTTTTTAGTCAGCATAATATTCTCTGGTTTAACATCTAAATGTGCAATTTGTTGATCATTATGCAAATAGTTTAATGCATCTAAAATCTGTACAAGAAGGTAACAGTACAACAACAAAAGGTGGAATCAGGTAACTGATTTATACATTGAAAAAAAAATTATATGCAAAGAAACGAAGTTACCAAGTGTTGGTTAACAGAAGTTAGAAGTTATTCACCGACCATTGAACTCTGTCTCAGTGGATGACTGATTAACTTAGTTGCCTTGTGACCCGAAAGTGGAGTCTGTCGATGGCGGTAGTGCTACGTATAGCGATTTGGCAGAATTTCGAATTCATGGATCATTGGATTCCATTCCGCTGGCAGCAGAATGGTCAATAGGCTTGTTATCTCCCGTGTGGCTAGTGACCACTCTATCACTGGAACACCGAGTCACTCATTTGATTCACTACAAATGATTATTGGCGACAGTCGGAACCGGTAAACACTACCTCCACTATATTATAACCCTGTCTACTGTCTCTATTTTGCATTTCTTCTACTTTCTTCTCTTGCCTTGTTTGATAAATGGAGTGTGGCGACTTGAACTGTTGCACATCGGTGCAAAGTTCTATGTCGAAAACAGACAGACCTACACTATACAGATTAACACTCTCTTCTATACGGTTGGTAGTGAGCCATATCTATTGTGTGTAAGAGCTAAGGATACCAACCTGGCTGCACACACAACAGTAGGAGTGAGGGTCAAAATCTATGACCCATGGGGGCTGGAAGTCAAGAGACTGGACTGCCTAATCACCGCTGTGTTTACTCTCAACCAGCTGTCGTCAGTAAGTCAACAAACGGTTGCTGGTCAGGTCATTTTAGTTTCAAGATACATTCAGGAGTTAAGTTGTGACATTTTTTCAAACAAGATGAGTGGATACATCTGGTATCATTCGACAACAGTGTTAGAAAACACTACAATTTAACTTACAACGATTTAAGAACACAAAGAAAATACTGTTTCTTGCAAATAACACCGTTGTTCACATAACAAATTTTGTTAGAGTTAAGCTGGGACTTATTTGAGAATATACCACAAAATTCCAGAAAAAATAGTTTATATATACAGTGAGTGTCTGATTAATCGTTAGAGCATTAACATTATAATTGTAGGGCTGCTATCCACTGAATTAAGTAAATGGTTTTGAATTGGTTGCTGGTATGCACATTAACCACCCACTTGTGAATTGTAGTTGATCATGTAATATGCCCATTACCATACAATAAATCTGACTTCATGGCTAAACCTTCATTTTCCTTCTAGAGAAAATTTTCAGCACTCATCTTACCGTGAAGTGACACATAACAGTGAACGGTATGCGGGCTGCTGGAATAACATTCACAGAGTATATGTCCAAGCCACCAAAGCCAGTTTTCTAAAGAAAAAAGCCAACACTTATTGAAAGATGATCTCCGCTTTGTGCAAACGCATGCCGCCGGATCTCAGAATTACTTACATAATCGAGTCACCAGATATCATCACCTCGGTGATCAGATTGGTAGAGACAGCAAAAAAACCAAAAAAAATATACAACTGTATTTATTTGACCAACGACTTTACGAATCAAAAATGTGGCTCAGCTGCTTAAGCATTCGTCTTTCAGAGAATAAATCCCGTGTGAGTTTCAATCCAGCTCCGCACACTTACTTCATTCCAGGTAACTACTGGGTAGTATAACACAATAACACTTCCAGTTATAAGCTACAGATCCTTGAAGAGGAAAACATAGACATAGTAACAGAAACAACGATAAGTTGTATGTGAGAAAAACGACTAATTACACCCATCTTTTAGCTCTTGAGCATTCAGCATAGTAAAATTACATTGACCACGCATTTTAAAGGCGATTAGTGAACTTTTTATTGATGTTAGCTGATTAGAAGGCAATCAGCAGGAAACCCTGTATCTAATCTCGTCAGGCAACAGTGGTACAATGTTAGAATGCTCACCAACTACACATCTGATCGAGGGTTCGATTACCGACCACTGACGCACTCCTAAACCTCGCCTAGCCGGCCAGCTGATAGTAAGACCAGAAAACAGAGAAAATTGTTCGTGACGCTAGCAACCCCACCTCGTAGAGAAAAACAACACCGTCGCTGTTGAGACTATACAAAAAAGCTTTAAGCCTTATGTCCCACTAGGAACACAAAAGAATAAGAAGGAAAATTCTTGCTAAGCACCTGCGCTCAGAACACAGTGTAGTTACTCCCAAGTGAAGAATCAATGGAACTAATTAAATAAATCAGTTATTCCCGGGATCCTGATATAAAAAAATAACAATGACTTCTGCTACTTTAACCTATGATGAGAATGATAAACACGGTTAGATGATAACAAAACAACAACAGGAACTTTAAGCAGGAAACATAATTTACTCATAAAAGCCTTCTTTTTACCTGTGAATAATATATAAACATCTGTTGAACATGTAGTCCGACGCCAATAGGAATACGATCAAACAATTCACCACCCGGCAATAATTCCATGAACATAACAGTGAATGTAGCGGTATTCCTATAAAGTGAGAGGGAGAGAGAAAGAGAATGAAAGACTATATACACATACACTTCACATAAGCCTTTACAACTAACACACAGTAGAATAACCGAACAACACTAAAGAACTGAGAATGAGTATTCATTGTGGGACTATTATACACAGAAGTGCAGTAGTTCTACGTAGCATACAAAGGTAGACAAAAGAAGTTCAAAAGAACTATGATGAACAGAAATTTACGGGAGGAAGAATAAGTACATGGAGAAAAATGAGAGCTTAATGAATTTGGGAGGCTACAGGAGTAAATCCATTTGTGCCGATGACATCGATTCTGAGTCATTTCACCAAGTCTCAAATTATTTGGTTCTTAGTGTTTCAACGACCCCACCTCGCTTCAACGCTCGCTCAATCCAACAGTGCACATTCACGGATTGTTGTAACGTTTTGATTCGACCATGGCTAACTCTTTTCCAACTCAGTTTCATGTTATTCGTTGAGGAAGCGCCGATGGTTTCGCATGAGTAACACAACCTGATTGACTGATTTTCCCTTCGTACCTCTAACATTCTATGCCTAACCCTTATGTTGCCCACTATATTATACCACTTGACAGAGTGCAAACATCTCTAGTTGGTCAAAGATAGAGACACCGTCATGAATAGAGTTAAGAAATCTACAGGTAACTGAGTTTTAACTACTCTGACTTACTGACAAAGAACTCTGGCAACAGATCAACCAAACACCTATTGCCCAACAAATATGCCGGAGAAAATGCAGATGGATTAGACACACGCTGAGGAGACCATCGAATGACACCGTGGCCCCAGGCTCTCGAGTGGAGATCGAATGGGAAACACGTTGGACATGGGTCAGGGGATGACACGGAGGAGATTGTGTGAAGAGATGAGAGATTATGAAAAATCGAGAAGCGACCCAGAGGACTAAAGAGAACAGGGTGGTATGGAAATGTGCTATGCTCTTCTAGGAACCTAAGAGAATAATAATGATAATCACAATAACGATGCACAATATAAATATGAAGTAAAATAGGTTTTTGAAAGAACATTTATGACGAAACAGAAATATACAATATACGAGCAGCTGGACTTTTTTAGGCTAACATGTTTTCTCTGAACCTGTAGCATTGAGGTCAGACGTGGCGTTAGGTCAGGAGAGTAAGACAACTGATCAAGCTGTCAAGCCACATCGATTGAAATGATTAGAAAGCATTTTATGCACGCGAAGAAAACGTCTTTATCATCGAACAACGCTAGTTGACATATTACGGTGGGAAAGATTTAGGGGTAGTCAAATTAAGACCTAATATCAATCCATGAAGTGTTTTCAACTTTTGGTAGGAATGTGTGGACTGTCATACTGGCTACTGATCTTCGGGATGCATAAAAGCAATGACTTGAGACTGTTGGACTTATAGCTCAGAAATGTTGTCAGCCGTGTTGATGCATTCACTCTTCCAGATTCACGAAGTCCTGATGTTTTTCCGTGTAAATAATCTTTACCTTGTTCATTTCCGCTTAATAGAAATCTTTTGGATTTTTTTCTTTCTCTACCTTTGTGTGTTACAAAGTTTTACATTAAAACTTACTCACTCAGTCAATCAGTCAATCTAGGTAACAACCATAATCAGGAATTGAATTTAGTCAGAAAGCATAAGAAAATATAAACTACTACTATTTAGAAAGTGGAGAATATAGCTTGCCTGATCCCGTATAGAGTAGCGATATTAGGGTGTTTTAAGCGTCGTTGTAGTTCAGCTTCTTGACGGAGATCAGCTCGAATTTGTGTAACATTGATTTCAGTTTTCACATTGCTACGTTGACAACTTTGACCGTAGACATTGACTACTTTTGCAGCTAAACAGTCTTTTGTATCCGGATTGACTATTAAGTATACACGTCCAATCCCACCTTCTGCAAGGCAATGTGATATCTGATAACCTGGGGGTAGGATAGGTTGAGCTTCAGTCCTTATTGACTAAAATCGACAAGAAATTCGTTAAAAAAGGAGGTGAGATGCGGGCTTTAAGAAGGACAAAAAGTTATCAATAACAATAATGAACCCATTATCCATTAATTTTAAAAAAAAATCAGGTTATGAATCAGTCAGTGTGTGGGTTAGATTTGTTCTTGACTGACGCGTCAGTCTAATTTACTGCCTTGAAATGAGCTCCCATAATTGACCTGGGATGGTGCCAAGAAGGCATACTCTGGTCTTCCTCTCGAAATGTGCTCATTTAGCCACCAATCAAGTCCTGTTTCCTTCCTTTATGCAGTACGGATGTCCTAGTAAGACTGAAACCTCGGTAGTCATAAATGACGGACGTGGAGGTCTGTCGAGGGGTACTGGAATGTCCCGACTCAAACCTATGGTAAACACTGCCTTAAGAATCCGAGAGGATTGAGTGGCGTACAAACCTGTTTTCGTAACCAGTGCTCCCGATAACCCTCTGTTGCCTTATGGATCGAACTTCGAGTCAAAACTTCGGGGAGTGGTCCCTTGAAACAGCCACCTGCTTCTTTCTTATCGTCTAGATAGCAGCTCAGCTCTCTGACAAATTTTGAAAAAACAGTGAGAAACTATACTTGCATGTCTTGAAATGATCATGATAGTTTCTTTTTAAAATTTCGTATGAAAATAAGCAATCGATGTTAAAGGTCAGAATGGCTGACTCTAAACTACCATGGTTTCAGATTTCTAAGTGGATGAATTAATGTGCAGGTCAGTTAATACTAACCACAGAAATGACTGACTATATGAAAGACATTGTTGATAAACTCGTGTGATCCAGTATAATCCCACTGATATAACTAAAAAAAGTGAACAGAAATTTCAGCCAGTATTTGATTACTTTTGCTTTACTGTAGCACTTCCATTCGCTATTAATACCACTGACCTCAGAGAACGACCTGACCATGAAAGCGTACACCTGAAAGTGTACTGAACTGGAATATTCTAAACATGTCACTGGGAAAACTAACTGCAGTTACATTTTACAATCTGCGTTAAAAGTGAAACAATAAATGAGGTTCAGTCCAATAAATTCACGCAAATATAAGCAGAGGATCAAATGTTATTATACAGTATTCTTACCGTATCGCAGATATGAAACAAAATTTTGATCTAGATTTTACTAACCTTTTCTATTGACGTTTCTTCTGAATCTTCGCTGTTTTTCGCTGCATCGAGACTCTCTGTCGTCGCCCCAGACACTGAATTGCTATGGAGGTGGATAGATTGTACATATTTACTCAGTTCATCCGCGTACATAGCATCAAAGAATAACGACAAGATAGTTATGTCTATGAGAATACAAATAATCATATTAAGTGTACGTATGCAATGAACAAACATTTAATTTCAACACTAATAAGAAACGAATCCAAGTGCGTACCATAAAACTTCTGCAGGGAAAACGTTGACTATTAGTATCACCCCAATAATACAGCTTAAGTCAAAACACTGTGCTAATAAAGATGATCAACACCAATTTAAATTCTAACACTGATATATTTAATAAACCGATCACGAACATACGACACAAAACAAGGAAAAGGCAAATTGACAAAAGAACACCACCATACCAGAAGCGTAGAAGGAAATACAGCAAAATACAAGGTTAACCAGATGACAAAAAATTACAAAGCCAAAATGAATTCCACTTCATCATAAAAAATTCACATAAAATTCAACGCGAACAAATAGCGTACTCATACTTCACACCCTCGCCCTGAATTACCAATCACTTCACTTCATAGAGATAGATAAATGGGGATAAAATACAGTTGATTATGCACCACACACACGTGTCCTGCAAGTTATACTAGGAAAGTAATGCACATCGATATTTTAACAGCCACCTCAGGAAGTCCAACTCGAGTATTATCAGATGTGACGGTTGCTGTGAAAGCATCACAGGTGACGTTTCCCTTCTGAAACGTCTGTATCACGAACAGCCACATACGAGACGAAGAAGTGGATATGCAGGTGTTCATGTGAGTGAGGACTACGACTACAACCCGTGGGCGTCTCCATGGATTCCTGCTCCAACTGCTTCCACCTGAAAATCTAGGTAATGTATTCAGGTCTCTCTCCCCCACTCCTACAATCCTTTCGTCCCATAACATAGTTACTACGTGAAAGACGTCTTCCAGATAGCTGAATTCTAACTTCACTGGACATTGGATGAAAATGTGCACTAAACATTCAGTCTGTTATGGTGAAATTAAACGAACTCGTCCGAGGAGCTACTTCACGTGCTCCAAACGTTGTTTCACTTACGCCTGTTGACCGAGACACACACTGAGACTTAAGTGCGCAGGGCACTTGATGAAAACACCTGAGGCAAGATGTCTGAAGGAGCAATGACGGAGTGGAGCTATTCATTCGTTTCAAGAAGCAGATTCAAATATTCACTTTCAACACACTCAAGTAGTCAGAAAGCACAACAAATTAACTGCAAGTGCCTATCTAGCCAACGAATACAGAGTGAAGGGAGCACTGTGATAAGATTTGGATGAAGAGCGAAAGAAATGTAGAATCAGTCAAGTGTGCAGTGATTTGACTAGCTAGTAGTTCACTGCCAATCTCGATGAGGAAGAGGGACAATTGACAAGGCCCTTCAAAGTGAAAGTGGCGGATGGCATCTTGGAGAAGGATCAATGAGGTTGAACACTGAGTGCAAACAATCATGACCACATGTCCTTTGCAAGAACCAATGTACTCCTCTCTGTCAGCTTTCTACTTATTTGCTAGCCCACACCAAGCATAAAGTGCCATAGTGACGGTTCTGTCAATGCGAATTGACTGAGTTATCACATTCAGTGAATTAGTGAGGTTTCCCTTCGGAACAGTTAATGGCTTTGATCCCTCCAATGTGCATACATGTAGAAACATCCGTATAGGTAGTCTCCGAAATCTGTGTATACGAGTGCACACACAGATATCCGTGAAAATTTACCATTTAATGGTGGGTTAATTATGTTGGGCTAGACCCAACGAACAGACACTGCTGATATTCCTCAAAAACCACTGGTACTGAAACTTTGTCGGGACCTGACCACCGTCGAAACATTTGATGGCTGGTGCTCCTGTCTGCCTGCTGCCCAACATTTATGCTTCCCATGAAGACGTTTAGCCAGATGGAGTGATCTGGTGTCCCATGAGGAATTAACAACTTCCGACATTGTCGTTACAATGAATGATTCCCAAATTCACACCGCTCGATAACTAGGGTATGACTGTCATAGAGATTGAAGTCTGTGTCATCACCACGTCCAGAAAAAATATGTCCATATGCTCGAAACTCTCGACAACTTACACGCAATGGAGAGCGCATCAACCGACCCAGTGGACCAGCTGCAAAGTCCAACAAGCGAATTGCCGCCCTACTATGCGCCACTTATATTGTGAATCAAGTAAACAAACAAACGGAGATATTCAATGAACACATGGCGTTGTCGAAATTCAGTGAAAATGATCACAATGAGATTACATCTTCATACTGTTCTTTTCCTCAGTGGATCTTTTTTCACCTGTGTACAGCATAACGACATATGTTGACATCAAATGTTTCTTGTGATTCACGGATTACGATTAAAATCCCCGCTCTAGGACTGGAATGATAAGAGCCTCTGTCAATCGACTTCAGTCAGATACCCGTGTTCATCCAACCGCCTCGTGAATGAATCACTTCGAGGTGGAGATATAACTTCTTCAGGGAGTCGACTACATGAGTCAGTGATCCGTCGTGATAACTCCTGCCTCAATGTAACATTGTTTCACCGTCAGCCTTGTCTCCCTCCCAGGTGCGCCCTTCGGGCTATTCTCACTTGGTTTATAAGAGTGCGCCAACTGAACACAGTGCAGCCACCACGTCCAGGGTCCTCCACACTACCACACGTCTGAGATCTGTCTTGTTCGATCCCCATCTGTAGACGTGAACAAGTCGACTGTTGACAACGAAATGTCTGAAGTTCAACTGGATTCACAGATTTTTCGACACCTCACGTGCTGATGGAGGATGCTCCCGACGCTCGACGAGCATATTCGGTTGGGTGATTGCATCGGGCAGCCACATTGATGGAAGTGATTAATGCAGCACCTCCATCGCCGACTGAATTCCAATTGAATCCTAAATCAAGGTATACATGCTTAGACTTCGGGAGATTGAAAACTGACTACACTAAAGCAGATGTATGTGCACATCGCCACCACCTATATCATAAAATCTCTATCAGTGTGTATTAACAGCCTTTCTTTTCACCCGATCTTTAACTATTCACACCAACAGAAATATCAAATTTCACCAACATACAACGAACGTTCTCATACGTCACACCCTCGCCCTGAATTACCAATCACTTCACTTCATAGAGATAGATAAATGGGGATAAAATACAGTTGATTATGCACCACACACACGTGTCCTGCAAGTTATACTAGGAAAGTAATGCACATCGATATTTTAACAGCCACCTCAGGAAGTCCAACTCGAGTATTATCAGATGTGACGGTTGCTGTGAAAGCATCACAGGTGACGTTTCCCTTCTGAAACGTCTGTATCACGAACAGCCACATACGAGACGAAGAAGTGGATATGCAGGTGTTCATATGAGTGAGGACTACGACTACAACCCGTGGGCGTCTCCATGGATTCCTGCTCCAACTGCTTCCACCTGAAAATCTAGGTAATGTATTCAGGTCTCTCTCCCCCACTCCTACAATCCTTTCGTCCCATAACATAGTTACTACGTGAAAGACGTCTTCCAGATAGCTGAATTCTAACTTCACTGGACATTGGATGAAAATGTGCACTAAACATTCAGTCTGTTATGGTGAAATTAAACGAACTCGTCCGAGGAGCTACTTCACGTGCTCCAAACGTTGTTTCACTTACGCCTGTTGACCGAGACACACACTGAGACTTAAGTGCGCAGGGCACTTGATGAAAACACCTGAGGCAAGATGTCTGAAGGAGCAATGACGGAGTGGAGCTATTCATTCGTTTCAAGAAGCAGATTCAAATATTCACTTTCAACACACTCAAGTAGTCAGAAAGCACAACAAATTAACTGCAAGTGCCTATCTAGCCAACGAATACAGAGTGAAGGGAGCACTGTGATAAGATTTGGATGAAGAGCGAAAGAAATGTAGAATCAGTCAAGTGTGCAGTGATTTGACTAGCTAGTAGTTCACTGCCAATCTCGATGAGGAAGAGGGACAATTGACAAGGCCCTTCAAAGTGAAAGTGGCGGATGGCATCTTGGAGAAGGATCAATGAGGTTGAACACTGAGTGCAAACAATCATGACCACATGTCCTTTGCAAGAACCAATGTACTCCTCTCTGTCAGCTTTCTACTTATTTGCTAGCCCACACCAAGCATAAAGTGCCATAGTGACGGTTCTGTCAATGCGAATTGACTGAGTTATCACATTCAGTGAATTAGTGAGGTTTCCCTTCGGAACAGTTAATGGCTTTGATCCCTCCAATGTGCATACATGTAGAAACATCCGTATAGGTAGTCTCCGAAATCTGTGTATACGAGTGCACACACAGATATCCGTGAAAATTTACCATTTAATGGTGGGTTAATTATGTTGGGCTAGACCCAACGAACAGACACTGCTGATATTCCTCAAAAACCACTGGTACTGAAACTTTGTCGGGACCTGACCACCGTCGAAACATTTGATGGCTGGTGCTCCTGTCTGCCTGCTGCCCAACATTTATGCTTCCCATGAAGACGTTTAGCCAGATGGAGTGATCTGGTGTCCCATGAGGAATTAACAACTTCCGACATTGTCGTTACAATGAATGATTCCCAAATTCACACCGCTCGATAACTAGGGTATGACTGTCATAGAGATTGAAGTCTGTGTCATCACCACGTCCAGAAAAAATATGTCCATATGCTCGAAACTCTCGACAACTTACACGCAATGGAGAGCGCATCAACCGACCCAGTGGACCAGCTGCAAAGTCCAACAAGCGAATTGCCGCCCTACTATGCGCCACTTATATTGTGAATCAAGTAAACAAACAAACGGAGATATTCAATGAACACATGGCGTTGTCGAAATTCAGTGAAAATGATCACAATGAGATTACATCTTCATACTGTTCTTTTCCTCAGTGGATCTTTTTTCACCTGTGTACAGCATAACGACATATGTTGACATCAAATGTTTCTTGTGATTCACGGATTACGATTAAAATCCCCGCTCTAGGACTGGAATGATAAGAGCCTCTGTCAATCGACTTCAGTCAGATACCCGTGTTCATCCAACCGCCTCGTGAAT